TCTTTTTTTTTTTTTTGTCCCAATTTGATTATATATATAATGCTAGCTATAGAGCCCATAAACACACACACATATATATATATATATATATATATATTCAGCTAGATGGTGGGATCAACTGCTTTAAAAAGAGCCATTTTCAAACTAAAGAAACCAGAACTAACACATCCTAATGCTGATAAATTTGCACTTATCTCATGAATAATTATTCGGGTCCCACCCCCTCGCCCACTCTCTTGCATTATATCTTGCTTGTTCCATTTGTCATGCCCTTCAATAATTGAGTTCTTTTTTGCAAGGATAAATCCCATTTTTTTGGGATTTAAACATATTATCCTGGCTCCAGGTTCATACTTGCAAAATTAATTTTTATTAATTATATAAGCTACGCAATAATGCTCATTTTTTAGGTTAAAATAATGATGTATGCATTGATTAGTGTTCATGAGTTCACATTCTAATAAGCTTCTCTATTCATTATTCTTTCTTCTATATCCTCAAAATAGATGACTGTGTACAACGGTGTGCACAATAATTAATATTATATTTTTGGTAAATAAAGCCACAAAAAATAATTGGGTCATAAAGTCCACCACGTTGAAGCACGTTGTGGGGTCATTACTATAGTTAATGGGAGTATATATTCAATCAACCAAAATATTAAAATATGCCCACTTTATCCCTTTCTCTTCCACATATATTATCTGGACAATAATTAAATTCGCAAGAAAAAAGAGGGAAGAATTAATTAACACAATAACTCAAACTAGCAAATTAAATCATTGGCAACAATCACACCTCAAAATACACATAGATCAGTACAGATGCAAATGGTCCCTAAAAAACTTCAAATAATTGGCAAATAATTAGCCATCAAAAAATTCATTCTATTTATTATGTTAGGTTGAGCCTAACTGAATTTGTCACCAAGTTATTTTCCATTCATAAATGGTCTTTGCCTTTATAAAGTGACCTTCATCTGACTAAATACGCCTCCATCCCTTTACATAATTCATCATTATCTCAACACACTTAATTAATATATTATTATATCGATTAATTAATTGAAAAAATGTTTCTTAACCAACTACAAAACTCTACGAGTTTATCAAACCATTGATGATCCCCCATTGAAACCAACCCACGTGGCTCCATCAGCATCCAAAGTTTGCTCGAATCATTAAAAAATTATTAGATAAATTTCTGAGTTCATATGTGTAGTCTTGTTTTCTTTTTCATTTTAGGGTTGGTGATGTTCCATTTTGATGATTTGATTTCATTGCATATTTATGCGCATCATCAAGCAGTTTGAGTCTCTGAAAATTAAAATGGTAAAGAAAGACCGAAAAGAATAGTTGATAAAGTTATTGAAGATGATTTTGGGTTAACAACTTTTAAAGATTTGATCATCGACGGAGTTTAATGTGGTCATACGATTCATGTAATTGATCCCACCTGAGAAGATAAGACTCGTTGTTGGTGTATAGATCAATAGGGGAAATCCTTTGATCACTTGGACTGATGAAATTCATGATCAAGAGTGTTGAAGATGTTAATCTCAGGGGTGATTTGGTAATTTGAGACTCCCCCAACATTCAGCAATTACCAAAGCTGACCTACAGACGGATGGGCCACACCTTGTTATCAACATCGTCGCTATCTAGCAGGCTGTTCCCACTACCACAGTTAAAATTCCCAAAATACATTTTATTTAAATAAAATTTCATCCCTCTAATTGTATCGTTGTTTTTATTTTTTTTCGTTATCATAATTAGTTTTTTACTCTTTTTTTTTAAATGTACTATATAGTATAAATTATTCCTTCCTCTTCTTTTCCTTCCCTTTTTTCAACACTTACGTACGACTCACATAAGAATAATAAAGAACCCTTGCCTTGTGATTCATTTTCAATATTCAACGGAAAAGAAAAAAGACATAAAATAAGAGAAGATTCCGTGGCCTAATAAATTAAATTAAGGAACACATAATACACAGAGAAAGAAAAGTTGCTTGAGCTAAATTTAAGCATAATTTTCCAAATTTTATATGATGAAATTGACAGAGAGATGCCACCTAAAAATAAACAAATATATTAATTCACCTCCCTCTGATCTCTCTCTCTGCACGCTCCATCCATAGGCATAAATAAAATCCCTGTGAGGAGTATTCACCTTGTTTTCTGATTATTCTTTTCTCATCGATCAGCTGTAATTGCTTACCCAAAACTCCCTCTCTCTTTCTCTCTCCCTCATCTCTGTATGCAGCTGGGAGATCCAAGTGTGTTAGAGACCCCATCCGGCGAGCCCATGATGGCCACCGTGACGGCGGCTGCGGCGCCACCAGAAGCAACGGCCTCTGATGGTGGTGCAGAAGTCGAGATGATGGATAATATTGTCGGAATGGATGCAGCGAATTCAGGTGATGATGTTGATCAGAAGAGAAGTGGCGGCGGTGGAGGAGGAGGAGGAGGAGGAGGCAACCGGTGGCCTCGCCAAGAAACTTCTGCTCTATTGAAGATAAGGTCAGATATGGACGCTGCGTTTCGGGATTCCAGTCTTAAAGGTCCACTTTGGGAACAAGTTTCAAGGTATATATATAAATAATTAAGTTGAATTGTAAATCATTATTCCATGTTTGATACCTCTCTGTCTGCTCCCTCTTTTATAATTTTGAGCAGGCAAGTAGTAAACTGAAATGAAACTGCTCATCCTTCAAGTTCTTGCGTGATCTATCTCCATGATTACGATTTCCAAATCTAATGGTTTTCAAACTCATTTCCAATCTTATTTTTCTGGGCGAAAAATTCCACTCTTTCTTACATAATACTCCTCCGGTCCTAAATGTAAGACCCTTATACTAGAGAGTATAAAGGTCTTACATTTAGGACCGGAGGAGTGTATGCATATGCATGGAAGATGAAATTTAATTTCTCTCAGCACTGGATCTTGTTTCTCGGCCGCCAATATGATTGCTTCATCTTAATTTTCTGCTTGAGATTTGGTAAGAATCAAACGGAGTCATCATTCTGCCTTTCTATTGATGAGCTAAAGAAGAGTAGATTTCGCGATATAGATTAATGAATCATTCTGCATAATATATGAGAATCTTGTCCGAGCTTACTTAATTACTCAAGCTTTGTGAAAGTTTTCTGTATGTATTGTCTTCCTTCTTGGATTGTAACCCCTTGTTCATTAATGAGTACCCTTTTAGGTATGAAACCAACACAATATATTTTTTATTTAATATCAGCATCCTGAGAGAAACCAGTAAATGCTCGCTTTAGATTTAGTTTTTCCCTATTTGAACGAAAGCAGTAATTTTTTCTAATAATGGAAAGCGTTTTTTTTTTTCCTGTTATATACTTTTTTATGTATATCACTTTGTACGTATATACATAGGAAAATGGCAGAACTTGGATATAATCGAAGCGCAAAGAAGTGCAAGGAGAAGTTCGAGAACGTGTACAAGTACCACAAGAGAACCAAAGAAAGCAGAAGTGGTAAACCAGAGGGCAAAACCTACAAATTCTTCGATCAATTACAAGCCCTTGAAAATAAATTCACTGTCTCTCACCACACTCCTCCAAAACCTCCTCCGCCACAACCGCAACCTTCTTTCCAAATGTGGCCTAGCAATATTAATAATGATCCTACCACAGCTATCTCTTACGTCACTGCTATTCCATCCACCGTAAACCCTACTGTTGTTCCTCCGCCACCGGCGCCGACGAATGTTGCTGCCGCCACCATCACCAACCCTAAGAATTTGTCAAACAAGAGCATTTTCTCTTCTGTCACGACCACCTCGACCTCATCGTCAACTGCTTCTGATGAGGACATGGAAGAGAAGTACAGAAAGAAGAGAAGGATGAAGGACTACTTCCGCAGGCTGACGAGGCAGGTGTTGGCAAAGCAGGAGGAGATGCAGAAGAGGTTTCTAGAAGCCATTGAGAAGAGAGAGCGTGAAAGAGAAGCACAGATAGAAGCTTGGAGAGCTCAAGAGATGGCCAGGATCAATAGAGAGCATGACATTCTAGTCCAAGAAAGATCCACCGCAGCCGCCAAGGACGCCGCCGTCATTGCTTTTCTCCAGAAGTTAGCCGGTGGCCAGCAAAATCCGGCACCGCCACCGCCTCCTCCTCCGGCTCCACCTCAACCTGTAATGCAAGCAGTAGAACCTCGAGAACAACTGCAATTGCTGCCTATTGACAACAAGTTTGAAATCCAGAAAACGAATATAAACAACGGCCATAATAGTCCGGTGAGTGTTTCTAATTCTTCTTCAAGGTGGCCAAAGGCGGAAGTTCACGCATTGATAAGGCTAAGGACGAGCATGGACCCAAGGTACCAAGAGAATGGACCGAAAGGACCATTATGGGAGGACATATCAGCTGGAATGCAGAGGCTAGGGTACAATAGGAGCGCCAAGAGATGCAAAGAGAAGTGGGAGAACATCAACAAGTACTTCAAGAAAGTGAAGGAGAGTAACAAACAAAGGCGTGAGGATAGCAAAACTTGTCCTTATTTTCATGAGCTCGAGGCTCTTTACAGAGAGAAGAGCAAAAGCCACAACAGTATCGTCTTCGGTGCCGGCAATCCGAATCACGAAATGACCATGGAGCCGTTGATGGTGCAGCCGGAGCAGCAATGGAGGCCGCCTCCGCCACATGCGGAGGAGGAGGAAGGTGGTGGTGAGAGGGATAATATTGCGAATATGTTTCAGTACGAAGCGAAAGAAAGAGAGGGAGAAGAGGAGGAGGACATGGAAGAAGACGACGATGTTGTGGAGGATGAAGTTATGGAAGATGATCATCAAGAAGAAGGACGTTATGAGGTTGCAGCGACAAATAATAAACTTCCTTCAGTGGACAGTGTTGAATGAGCCGACAAGATAAGGCAAGTTTCTGATTGGAGGAGGATAAGCCTTTTGATTTTATTTCTTTATTATTATTACACTAACAATTTTAGCCTTTAAATTGTGAGAATCATGTAATTTTTTTAATCTTTGAAAGTGAATGATAGCGCGATCAAGTCGAATTTTAAAAAATAAAAAGTACTCCTCCGGTCCTTAATATAAGACCCATTTAACTAATTTGATTAGATTAAGGAAGTTAGGTAAGTTAGTTAATTATAAGAAATGTGGCACATTTTTCCTAAAATACCATAATCATCTTTCTTAATACCTCCTCTTCCTCTTCTACTTAATTATGATTGAGGGAGTATCTATAAGGGTAATTTAGAGAAAATTGATAAATATGAGAAATGGGTCTTATATTTAGGACCAAAACTAACTCAACAATTGGGTCCTATATAAAGGACCGGAGGAGTACCATTGTAGATTGATAGTATGCAAATATCAAAAAGCTTGATGTGATGCGAGCTGAGTTAGATTTCAAGAAGTCCCTTTTTAAGGATTAAGATTAAACATTTCCAACAATCAATCAAGAAATTAATTGTTAGTATTATCTTGATATATGGTTTTGAATAAGAGTGGGGATAAGTTGAGTTCTTTATCTGTAGCATTCTATTTTGGTAAAAAATTATTCGGCAAAATAAAATAATACAGCCTCCGGGTTTTAGAAGACTTCGTTTATAGCCTATGAAAGCGATCTTATAATTATGACCGGAGATAGTATTTATTACAGATCTCAAAACAATATAATAAATGAAAGTTGGATCTCCTATCCGTTGTACTTGATCCCTTTTTTGTTTTTGGGGATTGTGAAGTGTCACCCTCAAGCATGGTCATAACTCATAACAAATCATCAATATAAAAAAAGATAAAAATTATTAAAAATTTTAATCCACCTTCTTCTAAGTTAAAAGCGAAACCAAAAGGGGAAAAAAAAAATAACGGGCAAAAATAATTCAAATCCTTTGATTCTTACGATGCCCCGTCTGGAAAGCAAGGGCTTCTGGCGGCGGCATATTACGCTCATGTTGCGGGTGCGTGGGAGGGAAGCGTTTAGATCTTTTTATCCCTTTTTATGTATAGTTGAATTAATCTTTTAGAATGAGGAGAAAATGTGACATAAAAAAGGGCCAAACTACTCCTTCGGTCTTTAATATAGGATATAATTGTTAAGTTAATTTTAATCTTAAATATAATATTTATTTCTCATATTTATTAATTTTTACTAAATTACCCCTATGAATACTTGTTCAACCATAATCAAGTAAGTGAGGGATGAAAGATATTAAGAAAGATAATTATGGTGTTTTAGAAAAAAAAACATGTCATATTTTTCATAATAACTAACTTATCTAACTTTCTTAATTTAATTAAATTACTTAAATAGGTCTTATATTGAAACTTGAGGAGTTTTTTTTTAATATTTACATACCGGTTAAAAAAAAACTCAATATTTACATGTCAAATTTAATAATTTATAATTGGTTGGGGCTTGTGGATAATTAATATGCTTATTGAAGTTCTATATGTAACTCAGAAAAATAATAAATTTTTCATTTTATTTCCACTCAATACTCTCTCCATTTCAAGGATTGAGCATATTAATTAATTAAAAGAAGTAAGTACTTTACTAATTTTAAAATCCCTGTATGGATATTTTAAATAAAATACATAAAATACCTTACATATACACTGAAACAGAGAAGTTGCTAAAACACGTCTGATATCTAAATGGAAGAATAACTCAATGCAAAAAAAAAAAGTGACCCCAGTTGATCCGATAATACTTGAAGTTAACCATATCAGATAAAGATAATCATATTTAAAAAAAAAGATAACTCAAGTTGTAAGAAGCTGACAATACACAAAAGAGATGAGAAAGTGGGGGGAAGGGTCAGATTGCGGCGGGAATAAGAGATAAAAGAGAAAGGAAGAGGGCACATGGGCCAGCAAAGCAGACCTCAACTGCAACTACTTCTTGTCTTCTCCCCAAAGATACCTCCCCTCCCCTCTTCATCTCACTCCATCCATCTTTCCTCGTTTCGCAGCTTTTAAACTCACAATTTCATAATTTAAAAAAAAATTAAAGAAGGCGTTTAGTATCATTTAGGTTACAAGGCACTGACCCTATAATTTTTCTTCTCCTTCTTTTTTTTAATTAGTTATTCTGTAATTGTTTGAAAATATTGATGTACAAAGTATACATATTAGTAGCAATTGTGGCTTAGTTATTATGAGACAAGGAGTACGAAGAGGGATGGCAGCAGCCACATGAGATTAGAGAAAACCATGAAAAGGAATGAATAATGTTTTATGTATTAAATTTGGGTTAGTGACACACACACACACATGAAAATATATATATATATATATATGTGCCTCTTTAATTTTTTCCCTCAACTTTCCATGACCCAAGACCAGGAATCTTCTATGTTATATCATTCATATTACTCCAAATCTCTTACTATTTTTGTATTTGTTTGTGTGTTGACTTCTTCTTCTTTTTCTCATAAACATCAATATCATTATTAATCACTTGTTTTGCAAGTTGAAGATTTTAATGACCTGACAAACAAGGAAGAATGAGCCGATACAAAGAATGTGTGTATACAGATGATTATTCTTCGAGAGATAATTATAATCTGTTCAAATTTACCAATCCAGCACTATTGTCAGTGCGCTATCCCCATTTGAGCATATGCCTGTACATTAGGATCATCACTATATAAATAAAAATTCCCTTATATATATATATATAGTTAGATATCATACTATTTAGATATAATAAACAATACAAGTTATCTTAATTAGACTTATTCATGTAAATACGTGAACTCTCTTTAATTAAAAGAAAAATGTACTAAAAGATATTATTTTTTAATTTAAGGGAGTGCGCACTAATAATTTAAGATTATGAAAGAAATTAAACCCACGATCTCTCACTTATAAAAAAGTTTACATGTTATTAAATTATTAGGCCACTGGCTGCACTAAATAAGACTTTGAATGTAAATACTCACTCAAACAGATCAACTCCTTCATATATGAAAGATGGGCCGACTCTTTACCAACCCGTTTGAAGGCCCAATACATGGGAAACCTTCCTTTTTTAGAAAAAGGATGGGTTGTGTTTGATTCAATCTTTTTTAATTTATTAATTACTCCTCCTTCTCTTTTTATTTATTCTTTTACTTCTTTTTTATGGTGAGATTTTAGGTTTAATTTCAAATGTTTCTTCTTCTGCTTCACATAAAAGGAGTTCCGTAGCAGAGAACTGTTCCCGTATTAGATATGGCAAATACTAATCAACCTTAATCAACCTCGATGTTGCAACTAAATCCAAATAAATTAATGATTGCAACAAAGTTGGATTAAGCCACTAACCTATTGCTTTACCATCAAATCTCATCATTATAAAATCTTAAAAACAAAAATTAGCACACGCGTCATTTTCAACTAAGACAGCGTACTTTAATTAGCATGATCCACCCTTAATTATATTTATTTCATCTAATAATAATAATAACAACAACAAACCCATTTCGAGGATCACCAAGTCTTGACCAATTTTGTTGCCCTATCCCTTCCAGATCATCACATTCCTCCGATCAAAGCTTTGAAATCACACGCCATTAATAGACAAACCATGATCTTGTGGTGACCTTTTAAGAGATTACTTAGTGATTAATTAAACATATTTGCTAAAGCTAATGACAGAGACGTCACTGCCTTTTTATTTCAGTGTTTAAATGTGAATATCATATTCAACAGAAGCTAAACAGTAGCCTTCAGAATATGCATATATGGTCCCTTGCTGTTCATCATAGCTACACTGGACCACATCTATCTTAAACAAAGATGAGCTTTAATATATATAGATATATATTAAATATTTGTTGTCAGACTTTTTGATAAAAAAATATATAACACAAATTTATATATATTTCCAATCTGACGCCATGTTATTACTTAACAAGTTGAATTGCAGAACTACATATTCTTTTGAATTTTAATAACTATTTGCATGTGATCCCAAATTGAAGGAGATATTAATGATCTGTTTATAGCTCACAACTTAAGAATTAATCATTACAAAAAAAGAAAGGGTTATTGACACAGTTTAAGAATTTAGGAAAATTCATTAACAACTTTTAATTTTGCGCATTCATGGATAAATTTTTTTTTTCAAAAAAAAATTGTGCATTACAACTTTATGTCCTTATTTCTTGAAAGAGATCTTTAGGCATTATTTAAATTCCTCAAGTCTCAAAAAGAGCATCTGATTTTGGGAATGATGCTGCTATCCTCAGTCTCGTTCAATTTGTTTTATTTATATATAAAATGTATTTGTGTCAAACTCACAAGCATCACGCGCATGCATATTTATTAAACTTTGGTCAAAGCTTCGTATAATAGTATATTATGTAAATATAAATTAGCGTATGATTAGCTACATCTTAATATAAAAAAATTGATAGTTTAACTCTAAGTGCATGACAAAATAATCCTAATATAACAATAGATAAGTTAATCTAAATTTGCTGTTGGAAATTAAATCAAACAGCAAAGATCCCTTTCCCAACGACTAAAAATTCCTCAAGAATCTCTAGTGGACAACATGCCAAGGGTTGATTTTGACTTTCTTCTAAAGTTGATGCTTAACCCATTTTCTTGGAACCATTAAAATTTTCCCTGGAGAAGCTCTTGAGGAGAGAAAATGTTTGTATAGCTGCACCCAAATGTAGGTCTTAGTTATTTGGAAATTATAATGGATGGGTTTGACCTTAGATTAGGGTCATTGTCATGAAAATATGTACCGTAGTGTACAATTTCTCATTATATGAATGTGAGAGAGAGAGGAGCTAACACAAAATCCAAGAGCCAAAACAGCATAGTAAAAAATAGGAGCAGTAATTTTTTCCCCCACACTATCGCTTTTGAAAAAAAAAAATGTTTTTTTATTATTTTAAAATTTCAAGATAACGTTAATCACTATATTTTTTTCGATCATACCATTAGGGAGCAAGACATAGATAAATATAGAGAGAGTTGATGAAAAGTGTGGATTTAAAAAATAATCACATTAACCATATATCTTAATTTGTGTGTTAAAAAACAGGGTGATACATATTCATGTCTATCAAAAATTAAAGAAGCTAAATTGGTTTAACTAAAAAAGATCAACAATGTCAAGATTAATGATCCCTAATTGTCAATTAAGGCATGCTACAAGCCAGAGATCTATAGAAAAAAGTAGGACAACTAGTAGGACATCCACGATTTAAAAGAGTAATAGTTAACTAATGAATTAATTAAACGGTCATATTTTGCGGCATTCAAAACTATTATATATTGGTCTCTCTCTTCTTCTTTTTTTTCCATTCCTCTCATTTATGTTTTCTTAGTGCTGCAATTTTCACGCTCTATCAGTGTTTTAACATATTGTGGCAGAAAAAAAGGAGTAAAAAATTGAAAACACGATGACCATGTGATTGTGAAACCACACTACTCAACAATAAAGAGATGATTAATACATAATACTCTTCCGGTCCTTATTATAAGACCCAATTTGACTTTTTATTTAGTCCTAATTATAAGACCCAATCCATTTTCTCTTTTATATTTATGCATTTTTTTTCAAGATAATCCTTCTAATAATAATAGTTTTAGCTAATATACTTAATTAGCAAGGATATTTTAGGAATAACAACACTTATTTATTAACACTTTTTTTTTGGGTTCTCCAATAGATTTACACCATATATATGATAGTGAGACGAATATAGATTAATATTTGAAAAAAGTGTTACATTAGTTGATTGATCTGACCAATCTTCTTTTAGATTGATCTCGCACCATATGGGAGATCGGTGGCTTTGGAAGATTAAAAAGGGAATAAGGAATCATCACTACATGTTTAAATTATGGACCAAACACGTGGATTAATTTTTTTAACTAAATTCAGCACTATAACTAGAATAAGAATAAACCCGCTTTTTCTTATACGGTCCTACAGACAACCTGTTGGAGAAAATCAATATTATAATTGATATAAATCTCAATGTAATATATACTACCTCCGGTCCTTAATATAAGACCCTGTTTGACTTTTATTTTGGTCTTAAATATAAGACCCCAATTTACTTTGTCTCTCATATTTATACATTTTTTTTTCCAAAGTAACCCTTCTAACAATGATAGTTCTAATCAATACACTTGATTAGCAAGGATATTTTAGGAAAGACAACACCTATTTAGGACAAATAACTAACTCAACTTACTTTCTTAATCTCCTCAAATTAATTAACTGGCTCTTATAATTAGGACCGGAGGTAGTATAATATAGCAAGTCATATCATTCACAAACTATATGTGAAGTATGGACGATGCATCTCAATTATTTTTGAACTCTTCCAACTTGATTTTGTCATATATATAAGTAAGTTATTGTCTCCTTTATCTACAATGACTAAATTATATAAACAAATTAGAACCAGTGGTATTATACATATGCTCACTCTCTCACTATATGAGTATTGAAGAATTTTTCTTTTCTCTTACACGAAGTCATGTCCACAAATTGGAGCGCCCGCGCGCGCACACATATATATATTGTTAATTGGTTCTAATTAAATGTTTTAAATAATCTTACTGTAAACACAAAAGTCAAAGCCCCAACCCTCAAATTTCAAACTCTAAAATCCAAATTGAAAATCCTAAATTTGAACAATTCACCACATGCATGTTGAATGGTCAACTAGACCCCCCCCCAAAAAATGGATGGCATTTTGAAGGGCAGGGCATCCACTTGATTTGATTGTTGGGATAAATACTACTTCTTCTCCTCCGATTCCAAATATACGACTTATTTTATAGTGTAATTTATACTATAAAATGAGTCTTATATTTATGACTGGAGAAATATAAACCTTGATAAATAAGAGCGTGATTCATACACCCATCAAATTAGAAAACATAAACTTATATATCATTAAAAGTTTTAAAAATCTAAACCATCCAAATCATATTACAAGGATGAACATTCTGAATGCTCACTGCAGAGTCTTTATTATCACAAGAATTAATTAGTACCCAGTAAAAACGGCTAGCTAGTGATGATACATAATGTTGATGTCTTACAAATAGTATGGAATACGCGTACGTACGTGGTGATGAATGATATATTAATGAAGAGCTCATGAAAGTGAAGGATGGGAAATAGTATATATAAAAGGAAATAAACATAGATATTGAAACACAGGAGAGGCTGGATTATGCAGCGATGATGAGGAAGAGGGTTCAGCCAGAGCCAGTACACAGAGAGAGAGAGAGAGAGAGGGAGAGGGAGGAAGTGCATGCTAGTCAGGTTCCTTTCACTAAGGTTACGCCCAACTCACAAGATTCCTTCCCGTGGGCCCCACCCTCCGCGTGGGCTGTTGCCGTTTTCCTTCAACCTCCGCCCTTCCGCCTCCCCACCTTGTCTTCTCCTTTCGCCATATAATATATTATAAAAAAACAAACAAACAAAAAAAATTGAAATTATTAATTATATTTTTAACTATATTTTCATTTTCCTCTTAATATTTATTTTCCGTTTCATAATTCATCACGCCATAGTTTTTTCCGTCAGAAAAATTCTCCACATTAATATTAATAATTGTAGTAATGCCCTTCCCCAGCCTTATTAATTATTTGCCGATTATAAAATGAAAAACCCCTTCTGTACATGAGGTTTAATTAGGAAAAATCATAACAAAAAGGATCTTAAAAATTGAAAAATTGCAAATGGTGACTCATTACAACATTAGTAATAGTTTCGACAAGAACTAATCAGTAAATGACAACAATTTTTATAAACGTACAAGTCCTTTTATGTAATTTTTAAATTTTTAAAGCCTTTTTTTGTGATTTTTCTTTAATTAAACCGTGGCCCTACCACATGATCATTGGGTTCGTTTCAATTTCATGTGCAAAATAAAATTTCAAGATCGGAAACATTATGCATTTTTATAATAATTTAAAATTGAACTCCATCCTCATGCACATCATTATGACAAATATTTTTATGATAAAAACAGTTCAATTTAAAACTTTATGGACGCCTTCCTATCTACCACTGATTTTTAAGGTGTTTCCCTTTTTAACAATTTTTAATTTTATTACGGAATATGAAAATTCTGAGAAAATAATTGAAGTTTCTCGCAATTATTTCGGTCAGATCAAACTTGTTAAGTGATGTACATGTTGTAATTAGCTCGTACTGGTTCTTTCATATGCATATTAAAATTTCATTTGAAAATAATATAATGAAATGTATATACAAACAAATTATGCCTAATCTAAATCGTTAAAACAAATAAATTTTAGAAAAGATCACTAAAGCATTTGAACATGAGAAAAGTTTTAGGAAAAATTAAAATAAAGGACCAAAAATGACAATCGCCCCCATTTACACCAACATATTACTATAAGGTTTAAAAAAAAAAAGTATTCCCCTTATTCATTATTGTGAAAACTGAAAATCTTGAAATTTTCGCTCTTCCCTCATATTATTTATTTCTCCCCAAAAAAAATAAATAAATTTGTAAAAACAAAACATGTAGATCATCATTGACTATAAGCTACGAGACCACCAAAGTGCCAATCGCTCTTCCCCACCTCTATGCCCATGTGTCATTCTCCCGTACCTCCGTCCATTCGACATCAGCTGCAAACCCACCGCCGTCGCGTCGTCGCCGTATCCGCCGCCGCACTCCACCTCCGACAACCTTTGCAATCTCTCTGACCCACCTCACTCTGCTTGATTGGTTCACCTTCCTTTTGGCCCTTTCTTCTCTTTCTCTCTCTCACTCACTCAGAAGCACCCACTGAAGTAGCTGGCGTGCTTGCCACTATCTCGTAGGTACCACTTCCTCCATCATCGTCGTCGTCATCATCTTCTTCCTCTCTATCCTTGTCTTCCTCCTCATCTTCTTCTTCCATTGCATCATTTCCCGCGCTTCCCATCATCACCTGGGGCCCCGACGGCCGTGTATCTTGCAGCTGCGGCTGCGTCTGCGTCTGCGGTTGCGGCGGCCACTGCTGCTCTGGGCGCACCATGAGCGGCGTAGACATGTTATCCGGCGGCGGCGGCGGAGCTGACTGCAACTTGAACTTCTTTTCCCTGTATAGAGCATCCAGCTGGTGAAAGTAAGGACACGTCTTGGAATCTTCTGGTCTTCTCTTGTTGCTCTCCTTCACTTTCTTGAAGTACTTGTTGATGTTCTCCCACTTCTCTTTGCACCTCTTGGAGCTACGGTTGTACCCCAGTTTCCTCATTGCGGCAGAGATTTCCTCCCACAACGGCCCTTTCGGCCCATTCTCCTGGTACTTAGCGTCCAGGTTTGACCGCAGTTTTATCAGCGTCTCTACCTCCACTTTCGGCCACCTCGACGATGAGGTACCCGGCGTGGCCGAGGATGGCATCGTCAAATTACTGTTATCCCCGTTGTCAGTTTTCATTACAATTTCCATGCTCGTTATACCTTGTTGCGCTGATGGAGGCGGAGCCGGCGGTGGAGTAGAAAGAACCGAAGTTGATTGTTGCACCGTCACAGGTTGGAGTGGCTGCGGCGGCGGCGGTGCAATTACAGGCGCTGGTGCTGGTGCTGGTGCGGGAGTTGCCGTAGGCTGCGACGGAGGATTGGGAATGCTAATGTTATTTGTTGTCGGTGCCGGTTGACCGGGATTCTGCTGTTCAGCGATCTTCTGCAAGAAGGCCATAACAGCAGCGTCTTTTGCGGCCGCAATGGATCTTTCCTGCGCCAATATTTCTCTCTCCTTATTGATCCTGGCCATCTCCTGCATTCTCCAGGACTCCTCCCGAACCATTCTCTCGTGCTCGCGTTTCTCTATGGCTTCCAGAAACCTCTTCTGCAACTCCTCCTGCTTCTCTATCACCTCCTTCATCAGCCTCTCGAAGAAGTCCTTCCACTTCCTCTTCCGCTTCCGCCGAGCCTCTATCGTCTCATCAGACGACGTCGAAGACGAACTAGAATTGGACAAGAGATCCGTCGGTATGCTGGCGAACGAGGGTATAAAAGTAGGGTTTGCTGTGGTCGTCGTCGTCGATGCCGGTGGGGGTGGGTACAATGGAGGGATTGAAGAAGTGTTCATTGATGGAATAGTAGTAGAAGCATTAACATGAGGAGGAGGAGGATAAGGCGGTGCTACTTGTGGCGCCACCATCACTGAAGGAGGAGGTTGGGTGGTGGGGATGACGGAGACTGGTGGTGCAGGTAGAGGAGCGGCATTAGAAGAAGAGGATTGAATCAATAAAGAATTAGTATTATTATGAGGATGGTTTTGATGATGATGGTGCTGATCGAGAGCTTCTAACTGATCGAAGAAACGGTACGTTTTGCCGTATGGTTTTCCGGTTCGGCCTTCCTTGGTTCGCTTGTGGTACTTGTAAACGTTCTCGAATTTCTCCTTGCACTTCTTGGCGCTTCTGTGGTATCCCAGCTCTGCTAACTTCCTGGTATATAAGCAAAATTTCCCAAACAGAAACACAAAAAAAGAAATAAAAATGAAAAATAATAAAGACAAACAGAAAAAGCTTCTGCTGGGTTTATCTTATCTCGTGAAATTCAGATGTAAAAACAAATTGAGTGAGAATAACGGACATTGGAAGCACAAGTTGGAAGACTAAAATATTGAAAAGGGAGGGTGTGGTGGGGGAGAGAATTAATTCAAGTACCAAAGAATATCGTGAAATGAAAGGGAAGATAGGAAAGAGAAGAATAGGTATATATATGTAAATCTAATATAACTACCCATGATGAATTGATGCAGCAGAAATGTTTCCCATGGAAAACATATGAACCAGTTGATTGCGAGGTTGGATAATCGATATTCCGTAACACTGTAGGAAACTGAAAGAAAAGGGGACTAAAATCCGTCTTGGGAGAGAATTCAATTCCGGTCGGTAATCACTTACTTGGAAAATTTAACATGAATCCAAGTGAATGCCAGAAAGGCAAAATTAAATCAAACCCAGATCATGAATGATGTGTTCTTCTTTCCCGAAATCTCAAAGCAGAAAGTGTGTGCAAGAAAAGGGGGGGATTGAAAGAGGGAAAAATGCAAAAGGTGATGTAAAAGACTTGAAGCTGATAGAGAGAGAAAAAGGAAATTGAAGAAGAAGACACTGGGGAAAAGAAAAGATAAAAACAGCTGCGATTTTTTTCTTTCTCAGATCTCAAACCAATGAAGTGAATTCCTTCGGCTGGGATTCGCCTTCAATTATCAGAAACCACCGTCCGCCGTATGAAACTGAACAAAAGAATTTTTCTTTTTCTTTTTACCTGGAAACCTCATCCCACAAGGGACCCTTAACGCTGGCATCTCGAAACGCGACGTCCATGTCGGAGCGTATCTTCAAGAGCGCCAGAGTCTCCTGGCGGGGCCACCGGTTACCGCCGAAGCTTCTGTCCCCACCACCACCCTCTTCGCCTGAATTCGATCCAGCTCCCCCACCACCGCCAGCCGCCGCCACAATTGCTGACTCACCGCCGTCATGGGCTTCTGCAGCTCCTCCAGCAGATGCTGCAGCAGCAGCGGTGGCGGCCGCAGCATCATCTCCAGAGCTAGCGCCCCCACCTTCCAACGCAGTTGAGTCCCCCAGCATAGGACTCTTATTCTCTTAATTCTTCCCCTCTATATTTCACAAGACAGCAGCGGAAGCAGCAAATTACAGTATATCTGTGCGTTCAGTAGAGTCGCGAGGAGGAAAAAATTAAAATCATAAATCCGCGATAAACAGAGAGAAAGCGAGGAAGCAAAGAGGAGAAAGAAAGGGTGGTGGTGAATTTCTTGGATGGTTTTTATTATGATAGAGCCCGCAATTTATTTATTTATTTTGGTGGGATCTGCTTGTCAATCTCAAGAACACTTTTTTTTTTTATTGTTATTATATTTCGACATTGTAATAAATATTTTTTTCCCGTTCCGTGGAATCTTCAGTCTTTTAGTTCAATTAACCTGGGTTTTCTCACTGTAATAATAAAAAGTGGCACAGAAAGATATAATACAGATATTTATTCATTTATTAATTATTTTCTCGGGTACCAATAATTGAATTAATTAAAAAAAAATTTTCTCAAAAAATTATTGAATAACCACAGAGATTTTTTAACACCTGCACAAACAGACGATCCTGATAATAAGTTGGTTTTTGTCTGTCCAGCTATATTTAGTTAAAAGCCGGCCCATGTAGGTCAGCCTTTCTTTTTCCCTCAATTTTTAATTCCTTCAAAATTAAAAATGCAATATAAATCATATCGAACGCCGTAATTAAATGAGAAAACATTAAACAAAAGTATAATTTTTTTTATTTAATGAAGAAGTCGTTAAAATGTGATAATAATGTAAATAAATCTCTGAAAAAAGTTAGAGAGTGTGTGTATATTTTTTTTGCTTAAAAAATTTTGGTATTTAAATTAATTTGAAAAGGTTGCTTGAGGGGTTTGGATATCAGCGGCGGTTGGGGGGCGAGGAAATGACGGAAGTGGCCCTAACATGGTTCCAGCATTGCCCTTTAATCATTGAAGCTAAATCAGGATATATTTTATTTGCATCCACGGGCTCCTGATCTGGGTTTGTCTCTCTGGTGTCTTATTTTATTTCTTGTGAAATTACCAGAATACTCCTAGTATAATAAAGTTTTACTGATTAAAATTTCTTTCTTTAAAAAAAAAAAAAAAAGTGGCTTGCAATTTTCAACTTGATGGGTGCAACTGTTGTACTCTACATACATGTGCAGGTGTGGCCTCTTTGGGTCCTACCCTGACCGTGACACTGTCACTTTTCGCAACCCTGCCTTCAGTTATTATATAACTTTTACTATAATTATCTGTTTCCCATTATATTTATTATAAATTACTTCTTTTAATAATTGAATTAAAATGGGAGCATATAAAAAATCATAAGTTAAATAATACTCGTAATTGCGTGTGAAACTACAGAATTAGAGATGTGAAAGACACATTTACCAGCCCTTCTGTCCAACTTGGTTGAATTAAATGGATCAAGTGGGTTGAATTATCCTTTCCATATTTTCAAATTAATTTACAATTTCATGTCCACTTCCAAATTGGACCACACACCATTGGTTGGGACAAGTTTAGATAAAGTGATGCTGATATATATGACATATTTATTCTAACTAGCTTCACTTTTTATTCTATTAATTATTTAACATATCAATATATATATCCGAGTTAAATGTTTTTATCTGTTAACTAATTTTTTACACCAAGATAGATAATTATATTTTGTGTGATCTGTAAAGTGTTAATAGAAAGTATTGGAAATGATTTTTCCGTTTTGCTTGGAGTGGCAACCATGGTGGATAAACTAGTTAGATGTCGGTCATATTTTTATATCAATATATACGTATATGCACATTAATTTTATTTTACTGGGTTGAATATGATTTTTACCCAAAAAGATAGGAAGATTTCAGAAAAAGAATCCTAAAATTATTTTTTTTTCAATTCAGGCCCCTAACACTTTAAAATAACAGAGAAAGAAGTTAACTCAAATTGAAATTTTGAAATTCAAGATAAATGATAAAAATGCCCATTTCTGAATAACAATTTATCTGGAAATAATAAGTTCTGATTGTGAAATAACAAGTCTCAATTTGGGATTAATAATATATTTTTTCTAATGCATAATATGTGAATTAATTAAAAATGACAATAATTTATCTATGAATAATAAGTCCTGATTGTAAAATTATAAATTTTGATTTGGGATTAACTACATGTTTTTTCCTTATGCATAATGTGAAATAACATGTAAATCAAATAAAAGTAATAATAATTCATCTAAGAATAACAAGTCCTGATTATGAAATTATAAATATCAATTTGGGATTAATAACATGTTTTTTCAATAGAATCAATAAAAGAGCATTTTTGTCATTTTCTTAATTTTAAAATTTTGATTTGGGTTTACTTGTTCCTTTATTATTTTGAAATGTTAGGTGTCTGAATTGGATAATACTAATTTCAAGATTCTTTTTCTAAAATTTTCTTAAAAAAATTTTGTGTGGGAGCAGCAGTATCTAGAAGTATTTTTAGCTTCTCATTATCTTTAAAGTGTTAAGAAAGAGCAATGTGACATTTTTTATTAAAGAATCAGCGTTAATTATTAAAAATTAAGATTGATTATTAATATTTTTAACAAAAATAACGGTATTAGTTTTTTAACAGTTTCGTGGTCATTAAATAAGAAACTTCTGACTTTTATGATAAAAACGACTCTTAATTCTTTTTATTTGATTATTAGATTTTGTGTAATTCGCAATGTATTAATTGATGAAAGTATTGAAAATGATTTTTCCGTTTTTTGTTTTTTCGGAGTGGGAACCACTGTGGAAAAACTAGTTAGATGTAGGTCATATTATTATTATGGCACGCCATTTATGAAACAGAAGTAAATGGTGGACAATTCTGTTGAATTTGTGACCTACCCTAATAAATGGGCATCAAAATTTTGATGGCTGTAATTGTGCCAAGATCCCAGCTTATCTATTTCAAAATTTTTTATTAAAAATAATTTATTTTGTCATTAAAAAGAAATTAATTAATAAAAATAATATTCGGGACCATATAGTGCTAGCTAGCCCTATTGACGGTGGTCTGATTTATTGGATATAAATTTTCCATATTTATATTACTTTATCAAAGGCACTGGCTCCTCCCCACACTACATATACTTCTCCGGTCCTTAATATAGAACTTAATTATTGAGTTGGTTTTAGTCTTAAATATAAACTCATTTCTCATATTTATCACATTTCTCTAAATTACC